TCAAACGTCAGCACTCGATTAGCTTCTGTTCTCCGAGCACAAAAGAACCGCAAGACACTGCGCACAAGTGGAAGCCCAGACAAGTTTGCTTTGAGAACTCATCGCCCGAGTGTAAAAAGCTCCACTCAGTGCACATCCGTCACCAGCATCATGGGTACCACCTCTGCCCAAATCAGAGCCAGCTGGCCAGACAGATAAAGGGTCCACACAAAGTCTGCCCCGCTTTGCCGGTCGGTGGCCTTGGACCTGTGATGCTAACATATGGTCTCACTCCATTTCTAACTCCTGCCACGACCTCATTAACACCCACAAATGAAGTCACAGCCGTCCATCAACCTTGTGCTGAGACCTTTAAACTCTTCGATACGACATGCTTTCCACTTTAAAGACAACATTCAAAAGGCCTGTTTTGAAAGTGGGCGAAATTATGCATTTTAAAAAACTCAACGCAGTCTCTTTCCGGGTTTCCTTCAAAGTATGTTTTTGCTATACATTTAACAAAAACCTCAAAAGTGTTTCTCTTGATTAAACAGGAACACATCTAATGGCATTTGCAGTGAAAGTTTGCTTCCGCAACAAATTATTTCAGAAAAGTTCATTCCGCTTTCACCGGTGAATGCAATTCTTGAAAGTGAAATGAACCAGGCCCGTTCAGCAAAATAACAGAAAAATCAAAGTTCCTCATAAGGTAACCCAGTTCCCAAGTACAGTACAGTACATTTCACTTCTGGTACCAACCTGCACTCTGGGAGACTACTGTCATTACACGCAACTGTAATAAACGAATTTGGCGCAGGCAGTCGAACAAAGTTTGAAAAAAAAACTACAGCTTGATGAATGTGACGAATAGGGACATTGAGAGAGGTCATGGAAAAACACTTCTGAAGTGGTGAGAGATCAACGACGCACTCACTCAAAGTCAAACATTGACTCTTGGGCTTGCCTTGAAAGTTACCCACGATTTGCATTTCAACCACGTCGACTGCATTTGCATTTCTCTTTCTGCATTTAGGGGATTCGCGTCCCCCTTTTTTTTTTTCTCGATTCATCCCCATTTCAAATAAGTCTCACTGTATTTTAATAAGGGAATTGAGGACAGCAAGTATCCTTTTCCTTATCGCGGCTGTGGAAATACTCGCTCGGCCCACTGTGGGAGAATTAAGAGGTGGGGAACTCGAGTCTTAGCTCTTGCTTGGCTAAAACTCATCAAATGTTCAACTTAGGTTTGAACTTGCATGACTTGACAAGTGTTGCCTGTGAACATTTGCCATTGTTTACAAGACAGTGATCCATTTGTTCTGTTTTGAATGAGGAGGTTTTTTTTTTGTGCAATCAAAGCTGGCAATCCGCCGGGTTTTGCTCCAATGCGGACTGCAGAGGCCACCTCACAAAGAAAGTATTGCGGACGCAGCGTCAAAGGCGATTGCATTTGGATTCAAGGATTGTGTTTGAATGTAGTTGTTCTGAAAAGTAGTTTCCTGTGTGCCATCAGTCTGTGCAATATTCTCATTTATTGCATTGTAACATCGGCCTTGAAATGCAGCCTCTGAATTGAGGCACATCTCTTAACATGCGCATCAGTCTAAATTGTCATTTAAAACGAAATGCTGTGCTATCATCCAAACCCTTTTCCCCATTCGGTCGCCCTTCTCCGCCGCGCTCTGAATGCGATGAACATTTCCCCAGTCGTTATGTCTGCGGCATCATAAAAAGCCATTACTTGGTCACACGGCTGCTTATAAAAGTAATTCAATTGCCTTGTTGTCTGTCTATCTTAGCCAGCTCCCCGGCGGTAACCCTGAGACTCCACTGGTGCCGCCCGCGTTTTAATTTCTTGGCCTAATGAAGCGACAGGCGCTCTACAGCAAGTCGGCGGGAGTGTGCCAGGCTTTTTGTGTGTTTGTTTGCCTCATTCAGATTTGAATGTTGATGTTCCGTGCAATGCAGCACTATCTGTAACCCACGTGTTTCCGGCTGTTCGCCCAAAAAAATTTGGATTTTTTTAAATAAAACGGCCACTCCCCCCATAGCCGTTATTACAAAGTTCTCAACTTTCTGTAAATCACATGGGAATAATTATTTTAACTGCAACTCAAACATTCTTGACAGATTTAATAGAATAAAACCAAATCGTTAAAGACAAATTACGGCCTTCGGACCCTAGTTTGAAAACCATTGCATTCAAGTCATTGCATTATTTCGCCACTGCAAATGCCATTCGTGTCTTGATCTCCATTAACGAAGTCATTTGGATCTCAACACTCCCATGTTCATATACTGACACTTTTGCGTGAACACCACGCCGCTGTTTTAATGGGCCCGACCAACTTAAACCATCAGCGTTCAACACGACTGCTATGTTTATACCAAGGAATAGCCCCGTCACGGTCTACTGTCCGATTTGATTCATTTTCCCTCCATTGCGTGTTGGGTGAGACAACGCTCATTGGATAGCCACGCCGATAACACACACAAGGACCAAAAAATATATATATATATATTTTTTTTTCCCTTGTGATATTTTCCGCTCTCAGTTCAGGCCATCTTTTGTCCGCCTTATGTTTTCAAGTAATACAATGCAGAATGATATAATCTCGCGAATATCCACGGAGCTCTGTATCAGGTACAGTTATGTAATTGCTTCCATCAGTAATGTTCTGGTACAAGTATGTGTTTGTGCGGCACGGTGGACGACTGGTGAGCACTTCTGCTTCACAGTGCAGCAGTGCAGGGTTCGATTCCGGCTCCAGTCTTTCTGTGTGGAGTTTGCAAGTTCTTCTCGTGCCGGCGTAGGTTTTCTTTGGGTACTCCGGTTTCCTCCCACATTCCAAAAACATGCATGGCAGGTTGATTGGGCACTCTAAATTGTACCATAGGTGCGAGTGTGAGCGCGGCTGGAAAACTTCACTCTAACCACTAACTGTGCAAAATTCTCAACCCCACATATTCACAAGAATTCACAAACCCCAACTTAATCTAACCTTTATCCCTCATCTTACACCTATTAAATCTTTTGAGTCCCACCACTTTAATCAAAGTGGTTTATCTTGATTGAGTTGATATCAAAGGTTGTTGAACTCACTCAGGGGTAAACTCAAAATGTGTTCATTAGGTTGACTTCTCAGTCAATGTGTCGGACTCATTTTTGAGCCTTTAATCTTTTTTTGGGGGAGGGGTGGAATTGTCAATGATATTTACATTGAGATTTACATTTCTCCTTTGTAGCTAATTACACCAGCTGTTAACGTAATCACGAATAAATCTGCAGACATTCTGCTGCTAGTTAGCGTTATTAGTTGCACTTCAGATGATCGTCTCTGCGGTGTTTCCCGTCGCACCTGCTCCCTTTTTAACACTCATGAATAGTTTATACCTACCAGCATCTGGCTACGCACCCTGCTAGGCCACACACACACACACACACACACACACACACACACACACACACACATTGCACTGGGTCTGAAATGATCTTTCATTGTCACTTTAAGTCTCATTAAATCCATGCTAAATCTGGAGCACTGAGACAAAGCTCACAGTTGAGTGTTTGATTTATCAGCGATCACCACATAATTGTGCCGTGGTTCTGTACACGGCAAAAATAATGTTGACGTCCCCACAATATCGCGATAATTGTCATATGACGTTTGGATATCGTTACATCCATACTATCGGTTTTGTATCATGTCCTCTTTGTGAACAAGGGGATCATCAAAGAAATAATCAACAGATTAAATCATTTGTTAAGATAATCGTTCGTTGCCTCCCAACTTGCAGCCTGCGCAGAGCAACGCAATGTTTTCAGCAGGATAACAAAGGACGATCGTTGTCCCCCTTTTCCCTCGCCATCATGCACCCTGGCACTTTGCGTGCAGTGTAATCCGTCAGCCATCGGCTAATTGTCACGCTTGGCACGAGAGAGCGAGAGTTCGTCACCTGTTGAACACCATTAACGTGCAACTTTCATCCCCCGCTTGAAATGGCTTCACCTACTTTTCTCATTTCCGTCAGCCTGAAGGAGGAAGGTGGCAGCTTCCCTACTGCTCGGTGAAACGGAAATCATAAGAAGCGAGAGGTGATAATGGTACTGCAGAGGTGTCATAAAGGGACGCTTATGCCGTTACTTTCGCTGTTCCCACTAATGCCATCAGTCAGCTCTCTAACGCAGAACTGGAGTACCTTGTAGACTATATTGCAGTCTGCAACAGAAACGACTCACGAGATCCCCTTTGGAAAGTTAGAAAAATGCCTCCACCTCCATTTTGAATGACCGACACAAAATTTTTGTAGACAGGTCTAACATAAAAAGGTGTGCAAAGGAGACTGAAGGAGCCATGGCCAATATTAAACTGGAAGCTGATTATTTTGGTTGGAAGCAGGCATTTTGGGCCTATTCCAGACTTCTTGCTGACTTCTCTGAGGGAATTTGTCCAAATGAGCCCCAAGCAAGTATCCTAAACAGATGCCAGATCGTGAAGATTTTCTGCCTACGCTGTCAAAATGGGTAGGGCATGGGTTCAAGATTTCGTGACGGTTATAAAGATTTTCCACGAGGAGTGGGCATATTCTTGAAAGACAATCAGCGCCCAACACGATTATCATCGATCTGGGTGAAATTGAAAGTCTCAAGGATTCACGCCTGAAATTGAATAGGACTTTGCCAAACTTTTCTCGGAAATTCGCCCAAATGAGCCCCAGTTGGAAGCCGGTATTGTAGACAGATGGGTGACGCTCAATATTCCCGCTAAGATGTGCGCGTGAGCAATTGCATACATACTTCTCTCACCCTCGAGCTCAGTTGATGATGCTGGTGCTTACACACACACAAACACACCATTCCTACTTCCCTTAAAGCTTCAGTACCATGACCGAGGGTAAATAATTCCTTAATCACCTATTCGAGGGCCTGAACATGCCTTACTTGCACTTATTTTTGCAATTATTGTGATTGTTATTATGTCATGTTTCTTATTGTATTGTTTTGTGTGTTCCCTTTCAAGTGGGTCCCCGTGCTGTCCGACTTCCAACAGAGAGGGACGGTGTGGAGCTTCGTGCCAGGGAAGCCCAGCCAGCCTCTGTCCTTGCACGTGGGGGACTACAACCTGGACGGCTTCCCCGACGCCCTGGTGGTCCTCCGCAACACCAGCGGCAGGTAGGACCGCCTCGAAAACGCTCCTCCAGATGTGATGATGTGTTGTTCTCCGCAAAACCATAACACACAGCATACCCTTTGTTGACAAATATGTCCGGTAAATGGATTACATGGAGATTTGGCACATTGCCGAGAATCTTGTCATCTGGTTCTCCTGAAGCTGTAACATGACCTCAGCCACAACATTCGGTACACCTAATGACATCTCCATTGAGTGCGATCGCAGAAGTTAGATTTTATTGTCACTTTGCATCGACACTAAATGTTCTGGCTACACAATGCAGAAGTTTGGGAACATCAACAACAACACATCGTTATTTCATGCTTATTGGTGCTTATTTTTATGAATTACATTATTTTTCAATGACTATTTTTCTTTTTTTGTTATTCCTACAATGAAGACTTAAAGTGCAACTGAGACAGTGTAGGCATCTATTTTATTGTGATTAATTTTGTTTGTAATTAAAAATGTCCCTTTTCTTTGTTTTTGTTTCATTTTTTCATTTTAATGAAACACGTGATATGGTTTTTTTCGAATAGTTTTGTATTTTTTTATACAATTTTTTTATTAATTAAATAGGCTTTACTTTGCAGTAAAAAATGTGTGAATAGTGCGGCACCTCTATCATAATCCTTCACAAAGTAACTGCATTCCTCCAACCATGCCGGCCTCACTTACTCCATATCTAAGTAAGTAGCGAGGTATCAACATTAATTCTGTCAGTCTGAGCACGGCCCTGCACCAGTGGAAGAAGGCAGCTAAGGTGAGCGTGATCTTCAGCATGCAGACATTGACCGCTGATAAGAAAGCCCTTTTAAAAGTCATTACGCCATGTGCCTAGACATACACATGGTCGACACCAAAGTGTGTGCATTCGCGTTTGTGTGTGTGTGTGTGTGTGTGTGTGTGTGTGTGTGTGTGTGTGTGTGTGTGTGTGTATTGAAAGACCTATATGGATTATCTTAAGAGATGAAGATAAGATAGTTGAAGAGGTCAGAGCTGTGATCATTGATGCATACTGATTGGTGTGTGAGTCTCTGTGAGTGTGTATGCAAGCGTGCTGTCACGATTGTCCTTACGATTGTAGGTAAGAGCCTTAAAGGACACAAACAAACACATTTATTTGAACCCTACTTTCTGGGCAAAGCTGTATATAGTCATCGCTAAAATCCCCCTTCAAGGACCCCTACCACCCCCCCACCCCTGCCCTGAAGAAATGACTGGAGTCTCACCAGGAGTAATCGCACGAGCTGCTAGAGCTTCCTCTTCCATTTCCTCACTATTTGTAAGCCTGTGGCATCATAATCCGCGAGCAGGAAACATGCCCCCGGCTCACACAAGTGAAGGATATCAGGCTTTTTGGGGAAATTTCAGGATGGACCTCAATAATAGGAGCTCTTGATGTTCAAACGTGAACAGCGTGACGAAGACGACCCTTTACATACCGATTCTAACTGAATTGGAAGGGAAATGTATTGGTCCATTCATGGAATATACCGTACCACTGTTGTGAATGTTTGCCACTCAGCTCAGCAAGTTGTGCAGGAGGTACCGAAACATTGAAAAGGTAAAAGTTAAGAAGTCAAATGAAGTTCACCTGTAGCGGTCGAAATGCATTTTAGTTCCGTGAGGGAATCTCACTTGAAAGCCAAATCGCCCGAACTTTTTGTGAGTAGATTTGTAGAACAGTCACGGCATGGCCACATTGGTGTGTCGTTTTCAGATCATGACATGTGCTGCGGGAAGTTATCCAATGACACCTCATCGGTTCCCAAAGCTCTGAATTTACTACAAATCCTTTTTTTCGTCCATCTGTTTATTTTTATGTGGAGGGGGGCATGTGCAATTTCATTGTGTTTCTATGCAGTGACAATAAAACAAAACTAATCATGCCAGCGACATACAGTAATCCTCGAACATTGGCGATTTAGCCCTGCTGCAAATAGCTAAAAGAAAAAAAAAAAAAAAACGATTCAATACTCCCCTAAATATGGCCTATCATAATTTCCTATAAATAGTTTAAACCTTAAATATACCTCAGACTATGATCCAAGACACTTTCATATAATTTCAAACTCATCAAATATCTGATTATTAAATCGACAGAATTATAGCTTTGTGATCAACAAAACCGGTCCCGATTTTACAAAAAGTACATCAATTTGTGGGTAAGTGAGATAATTATTTCAATATACTTTTTACTAATAATACTAATTCTACTTTCTGTGACATTTTTGTGCCGTAGTGTCTGTCAAATATGTTCTCTGGGTCAGTAAAGGTTGGCAATCACTGGCCCAATCGATTGAACATCAACGCGTCAACTGGGTTTTCTTTATCTTGTTTGGATCGAAGATCTTTGAGCCTGAATAGGTTCATCAGGTGGTGATGAACAGGTTTAACGTGGCTTTTGAAATCAGGGTTAGAGTCGATAATCACACCATGATTTAAGTCCGCAGATGGAAACATACACTTGGAAGAAATGAGCCGAAAATCATTTCAAAGTCGAGACTCAGATGATTCATCTTTTGCGATTCTCCTGACATTCAGCGCTTGGGATCTTGCAATAAATGCGGAGAAGATAGCCACCAAAGCTAACCCGAATACAATTTATGTTGGAGATGTTATCAGTGCGTCCCATCGCACAATCTGTGATTCCCTCCCAAGCAAATATTTAGACAGTACACACTTAAATGCAAACCCTTCATGCTCCCTCAGTCTTTTCATCCTCCCTCCCGCTGGGTTATTTTTAGCAGCTCTCACAAGTGCTTGCCATCACGAGTAAAGGCTGCTTTTTAAATGATCATATTTGGGTGATGGCGAGATAGGCTTGAAGTGTGTGCTTTCATATCATGCCTGTTCACCAGAGTTGCAGTTCACTGCTGTTTTTCCCACAGCATGTGGTACCAAAATGACCATCGTGACAGGAGTTTGAAGCCGTTAGCGCATTGTAGTAGTGGTCGTATGGTCGATTCATTTTATGCACTTGTGTGACTCGGAGACGGTCTCTGAAGTTATCCTGGTCATTTGAATCACTTGAGTCTGCGTTATTGGTTGTGTCAGTGAACTAATACACTTCAATCATCAGAGTCGGTGGTGTTTTTTTTGTAAGTTTGCAAATCTTGAGCCAGCAAAACCATACAATGGAATCATCTGCATCCGTGATAGTTCCTGTGAATCATTAACACAAGTGATTCTGCAATCTTGAGTCAGTGAACCGATAAAACCGATCCATTTGAGTCTGCTTCATTTCAGGGCACTCCACCACCTTTACCCATTGAACCGAGACAGCTGAATCAACTTAATCCTCAGGGTTTCTGGTGAGTTTGCTGACTTCAGTAAGTGGTCAGATATGATCAGCACTGTTTCTGGCGAGTTCACAAACTCAAGTCAGTAAACCCAAATCAAATTAACTGTGTCTGCTCTGTTTCTGATGAGCCCAATTTAACACATTGAGTTGGTTGGCATCTGAATTAATTGCTTATTACTGACTCCTTCAAAATGTATCCAAATAGAATACTGTATGCCTTTCTCATAAACAAATTCTCCAACATACCGTTCCTAAGAGTTTTTTTTCAACTTTATTCATAGTCACTTCATGCTAAGCAAATTACTTTAATTTTTTTACGCCTCTCTTAAGTAATTGCCATTGGATTTTCCCCATTTAGCTAATTCAGCTCACTGACTCATTAGCAACATGGATATGTATACAATTTATGGATTTGCTGATTCACCTTAATGCTTCCTAAGGGAGTTATTTTTTACATCAAAGGCATTTTATCTGGTTACATTTTTCTCATCAACAAACAATTTTTTAAAATTATATTCCTCCTTTTTTTAATTGAGGGATGAGTGTGTGGGGGGTGCTTCTTTCATCAATTGTATTTCTGACATTCAATTAAACTATGACATTCTTCTCTCCTTGAACTTAAAAACCATTTTATCCTGACAAATAGCGCTTCTTTCAGCAATTGTATTTCTGACATTCAATTAAACTATGATATTCTTCCCTCCTTGAACTTAAAAACCATTTTATCCTGACAAATACATCTTTGTTCTTAAGATTGTGCTTTTTTTTTTTCCATTGAAAAAAATATGAATATTTTTGGGCTGTCATTATCAAATATTTTAAGAATCAAATGTTCAATTGATTACTGCAACAAATTGGACAAATCATCTGTGAGATTTTATTTTTCATTTTGCAGTAAAGTGTATTACAAAACAATTTTTCCACGATAACTGTTAACACAATTATTGTTGTTTATTTGGTATTGTTTAGTGATTAAAACAACAACTAATCACAATCTGGGGAACCAGAAATCAGTTTATGTACCCGAAAAGTTTGAGAGCGAGGGAGGAAAAAAAAACAAGCCAAGATGGTCTGTGTGAAATTCAAGTTTTATCCCTTCTGAGTAAATAAAAGACAACATCTGAGAGGAACCCTGTTGACATCAGTGTCGATCATCCAAGCCTGTTTGTGTTAGCATCTTCTTTTTTTTTGCCCCGGTTGTTATTTCCATCGGCGGCTCCTAAAAGCAACAAGCATTAAATCCAGGTCACAGGACAGACGACGCCTCCAGATGCTGTCTCATCCCTTGAGTGTGTGTTGAGCATTGTTGCAACACAAGATCTCAGACTTCACACAAGTCAAGGATTTTGGATAAAGAGGAGTCAGGAACAGTTGAAAGCAACTAGCCACATCTTTTTTTTCCCCCCATGTCATCTCAGGCTTATTTTCTCCCCTTCCGACCTATGCAAAATTTAATAACCGTGTGATTGAGGACAAGACAAAAGCCCATTATATTCAGATACAGTACCTAGCTAGCTAGCTATAGAATTTGTTTTGTCTTTTAATGAGCTTGTTATCTTAAGGAAATTATTGGTTAGTTGGTCTGTTAATTCAATGTTTTATTTACATATTTGAATTAATTTGGGTTTAGTCGTTTAGTTTGTGAAGCAATAAAACCAACAATGGATCTTTATCTCATGTGATCTGTGTGGC